CCTCGGAAGCTCTGTAGTCTTCGTCTTGACAGCTCTAGATCTTCTGCTGAACAACCCACAAGCCGGGGACGACTTCGTCGACCCCAATACAAACACCAAGAGCTTCTTATCTAGGCTAGTTAAGGCTGTTCAGCTGCTCACATGCACAAGAGCAATCAACACACCCCGACAAGTGAAGAACGTCCCGCCATTCCCAGCATACTACAATAAGAGAGACCCAAAGGTGATCCCACGAGGTCGCTTCTTGGTTAGAGAAACCGCCATTGCTACCTGGCAGTTTCTAGTTCTAGATATATTCAGTGTATTGGCCTCAAGACAAGCTATGAATGACCAACACGAAGAATCGTCAGTTTCTTCTGGCCTTCAATGGGATATCCCGGGACGAGACATGATAGCGCAGACTATTCAGACTCTCATTGCTTGGCTCGTTGTGTCTCGGATTCTGATCAGCTTCTACTACCGCATCGCTTCGATCATCTTCGTGAGCCTGGGGGATTCTCCCTCGAACAGTCCGCCGGTTATTGGGAGAATGGCGGATATGTACACACTACGGAATTTCTGGGGGTGAGTCACTCTTACGTTTGTTGGTTTGGGTAGATCTAATTCTCATGGCGCTTATAGAAAATTCTGGCATCAATTGCTACGGCTGCCCCTCACGTCGACTAGTAACTTTCTCACGCGGGGTGTCCTCGGTCTGCCTAGATCGTCGTTTGTGGAACGATACACCAACGTGTTCGTCGTTTTCTTTCTCTCCGGCTTGACCCATGTCATACTTGACAGCCTGCGAAACATTTCACCATGGGACTTTTGGACCATGTCATTTTTCCTCTCTTTCGTTCTCGGCTATATAATTGAAGACGGTGTCCAGGGTCTCTGGAAACGAACTCTGGGCTCCCAGAACGACAACGGCTTGCCTGTATGGTGGCAAAAGGCACTTGGCTTTTGCTGGGTTACCATATGGCTGGGGGTTACATCTCCTTGGTATTTTAAGTTGGCGATTATAAAGCCAGAACAACAAATGGTTTTGCTTCCATTCAGCATTGCTGGGTTCATTAGCCTTTCTGTGTTGAACAGTATAGTTATTGGCGGTGGTCTTGTGTTGAAGTTTGTATTCGGAGGAGAGATTTAAAAGGAGAGGATGTGGAATACGTGGAATTTGTCGAAGTGTCGAGCAAAGCATGGTATTTTGGGATTTTACCGTAGGAGTAGCAACTGTTCTCCTTGGTGTTTGCTGTGGTGCAGTACTTCTTCTCACCACCAGTGCTCTCGGCAAGATATTGATATATTTCCGTGGGTCTAGGACGAGGGTATAATTGGCATAAATTCGATCCTCCACTTCTTGTCTACATCAGTACAAATCGCACAGCTGAATCCGGAGATATGCCTGAGGATTATTAACTTGTTCAATAATGGGAAATGATAACACAAGGTGGATGAGGTTCCAAGGTTGGAAGAGAGCTCCACGGACAATATCCCAGGCAATACCTGGATTAAGAGATCAATTGACGCTGTCCAATCTGCGAGGCCAGTCCGATTCCAAGTCCTAGTAACCCACCCTCCATTCTGCGGGTTATACTCAAAAATGTAGAGGTCATCTTCATTGTCACTATAATCATGAACGATCTCCATATTCAAACCAGCACCCAAAAACACATATCAAAATAATGTATGAGAAGAAATTTATAAAGACATCTAAAAAAAGACTACACAAGGCATAAGCGGTCGAATATTCTTGTTACTTTTAATTTAAAAAAAATTGGACCGGTAGAAGAGACGAGCGAACTCATACCAACATACATGTATGTATATACACGGTTTGAAACGAGAGTTTGTTTATTGTCATGCAAGTAATATGTAGGCAAAAATAAGAACTTCCACTTGGTGACCGTGAATCGAATCATACCAAGCTTGAAGAGCTTCAACATACAACATCAACATCCAGGTTGAAAGATGGATAGAAATATTCGCTCCATATTCATACAAATACCCCTCCCAACCAACAGATAAATGATCAACGTCCAAACCGCTGCGTAATGGCATCGCTGGGAGGAAACTCGGATGAGACAGTTGGAGTCCGAGAAATGCGTGGGAGTCGGGTACGATGCTGGGGAGCGGGATCTGGACCTTTGCCTAGTTAGAAGCACATTAGCCAGAATGCTCTGGATACTGTAGGCTTGTAGTTCAATACATACTATTTCGCCCATCCCAATTTGGCCGAGCAGGCGGAGGCATTGGGGCTTCGCGAGGTGTCCGCGTCCTGACATTTTTGGAACTACCAGTGCCACTCCGTTGGTACCGATGAAGCTGTTCGACCCCGTCTTGGTTGACGGGAAAAGTGGGAGTTTTGGGGTTTCGTGTAACGGGGGCTGGAGGCAGCGCTGGGACTTCAGACCGATTAATGGAGGCAGGGGGAGGAGCGTTGAGCGATGAGAGAGTTTGGGAGACTGTGTCTGAGGCTGCGGTCTGCATTCGGGACCGCATGGCACGAGCTTTAAGGAGGTTGTAGAGATTGGTCATTTGAGCAAGTTTGTTGTTCTTGTCACGGTACATATCATTCAGTTCTTGGTTTTTCTTTTGGAGGTCTTCTTGGGATGATTGCATGTCTGCAGTACGGAATTGTCAGTCAGGTCTCCAAGTAATAGTAGGCTCAATTGGACAGACCGGACAACTTGTTCTGCAGTGACAAGATCTCCGTGTTGGCATTATGGATGACCTTGTCCATCTGCGTGTTCAGGTTGGCATACTTCTCCGTAAGCGTCTTCGCCCGGTATTCCTGGTAGAATCTGCTCTAGTTAGCCTTGGATAATCCTCTGGTTCCAATTGACAACGGGGAAATGTGACAGACATCTCCTGTGTACTTTGATATGCCCAAAACGCAAGTGCACGACCAGCACATTCCATGATTGTGTTCGGATCTAACCCACTCAACACGCTTGTTTTGTAGTCCTCCGTCGGATTCAAGATAGTCGAAACAGCGTCATCTGGATTGAGAAGTACCGTCTGACACGCAGGACAAAGCCGATTGCTGGTGGTTGGACGAGAGAGCCCGAGACTCTCTGCGCAGCCATGACAGAAGATGTGCCTGAAATCATCAGCCTTGCTCAAGTTGATCCACGAGGGAACAACTTACGAGCAGGTTGTCACCACTGCTTTCTCTTTCAATTCTGCCCGACATTTGAGGGAATTGCATCTTAAAGAAAAATCCATGGTGTGTCGCTGCGGTTCGGATGCGGTTGGAGAGAACAAGAAGTGAAGGTCACGGGTTTAGACTTGGGAGATGCTATTAATTTAGTCAACCCCAAAAGGAAATCTTGTAATGAAAACAATAACTTAGGCACAAAGCATGTGGTATTTGTCTATTAGTGATTATTTTCATAAAATTTGGGCGAGCTAGAAAAAGAATGTATTTCCTTGAGCATCACGCCGTGTTGAAGTCATCTTCTCTTCGAACTCTTTCCCGGGTTCATACTCATGCCACAGACTGGCTGGGTAAATGTGCTTGTTTTTCTCATACCACCGTCGATCTACGACCTTGGTTTCTGAGAAGTCCTTGTCTGCACCCTCTAGTTGATCGTCACTAGGCTGAGACAGCGGATTATCGGTGGAATTGGTGGAATCAGCAACGGGGGGTTTGTTGGAATAATCGAATAGCAAGCCGCCAGTTCGAGAAAGACTAGGCACTCGATTGGCGATGAAGTAGTAAAACTCGTAATGCTGTGGAATATTAGATGAGATACTTAGCCATTGGCAACCCGGGTGGACTTACATGCGGAACAATAATATCACCCTTGACAAGCATCAAGTCGTCGACACTGACTCGTGCCCACTCGCGGCGATTGTCTTTCTTTGCCTTGGATGCACCACTGGCACCACGTACGCCCATCTCAGCACCAACCTTCCGACAGCGATCCAAGAACAACCAAACGTGGTCACCCTTCTTCACTTTGACAGCGCCAGCTGGTATACTCGTTCCATCATAGAAGACGAATGGAATGAGAATATCGGTATTCTTTACAGCCTCCTGCATGATCAAGAACTCCTTGCGGAGAGTGTCGCGAGCCAGCGCTTCAGCTTCCAAGGATGCCTTTGTTAAGGCTTTGGGTGGAGGGGGTGCGTTCGGGTTTGCTTTCATGCGTCGCGTAGTGCTATCCTCGCCGGGTGTTTTCGAACCTGACCGTGATGCGCTTGAGTCGCGTGGGGTTGCTGCCGATTCCTCGCCCTCGTCCTGGTCGTCGCCGAATGACAGCTTGCTTTTTGCAAGAGCCTTCTTTTTCTTCTTTTTCGGGGGACCGTCACCCCGGGAAGGCGTTGACCTGTTGCGCTGCGATCAGCTCAAATGAACGGGAATGAAAATCAAGGATCTTCACTTACCCGTCAGTCATATCGCCTCCAGAGGGAGTTGCGCTTCTTGAATTACCAGAAGCCAGTAGCCCCAGAGACTTGTCATGCGCCTCGCGCTCTTTTGCCTCTAGAACATCCGCACGTCGCTTGCGAAAGTCGGAGAGATGAACCAGACCAACGGTTTGCTCTTTGAGCATCTCCTCCGCGGAGACGGTTTGGCCGGCGAAGGACCGTGGAGTGGACGTGCTACTCTCCTCTTCTTCTGCCATTTTGGATTGTGAGATATTAAGTTTAGATTTGACAACTGAGATGAGAGAATCGATTTGGTCGGTGACGTCCGATAACCAGCACGTGACCTTGGGTTTCTTACGTATATTGTACGGGGCCAAATGATCAATGGGATTCAGGCTTTTAAAATAGAAGGAGATCGAATCTCTCATATGTGAGCTACTTGACATTCTGTGTTACATCAGAATCCAAGACATTCAACGGTATCATGGTCGCCGTATACTCTTTTGCACGTCTCAACTCTGAAACGGGTCAAATGCACACCGCTGCAAACAAGACAAACTCGGTTCCCATGCGCGCAGCCTTCGATCTCGATCCTCTTTGATACAACTTTCTACAGCATTTACCCGTTGAATTGAAATTCAGAAACCATGGACGAAGAAGAGGATGACTTCTATGATCCCGTCGACGCAGTGCCGACAACACAATCGCTGAACCACACACAAAATGCCGCTCCAGGCCAACCGCAGGAGAGCAATTACATGGAAGACGGCGATGAGATAGAAGAGGAAGAGGAAGATGATGTACATACCATGCTTGCATGTACTTGCAATTTTTTCCTTACTAATTTTGCCTACAGGATGACTTCAATATTATCACAGAAGCACCCGAAGGCGCACCAGCTCCCGAAGCGTGAGTTAGCTACCATCCCGCTCGCTCCCTGCACTCTTGTTGATCTTTCTAGCTCTCACCCGCGCCATGCAAGCTTACGACAAGAACCACAACGGCCGTCCTCCGCGGACTCGTCGGTTCTAACAAGGTCCGCGACGCCATCCGCGACTCCTCGACATGAAACTGCGACTCCGATTCCTGGACACCCAGCCGCAGCCGGAGCCGCAACTGCAAGACCCTCCTCAGAAAAGCCAGGCTCGGCCTATCCAGCTATTCACAGCTCCACTATAGACGTCAATGCAAACCCCATCCACCCCATGACAGGGAAGCCGATCATGTCCACGGACATGGATGCTGACTTCCCATCCGACGACAAGCCCTGGCGCCGACCCGGGTCAGATCTTTCCGACTACTTCAACTACGGATTCGATGAGTTCACATGGGCAGGATACTGTCTCAAACAACAAGGTGTGAGACAGGAAGTTGGCAGTCAGAAGAGACAGATGGACGATATGCAGGCCTTCATGGGCATGGGAATGCCCCCGATGCCTAGTGCACCGGGCCCCGCTGCTCCGGCTACTGCTGCGCCGCCCATGGCTGGCATGCCCGGTATGCCGGATATGAACCCAGATATGATGCAGGGCATGCTGGCCAACATGATGTCCCAAGGCTTGGACCCGTCTAATATGGATCCCATGGCTTTCATGCAGCACGCTCAGTCCATGATTCCCGGTGGTGGTCAGCAGAGTCAGCCTGGCTTTGGAGGCCAGCCCCAGGGTCAAGGCTTCAACCAAGGCGGCCAGGGCCAAATGGGCTACGGCGGATACGATCAACGTGGAGGTTACGGGGGCCGAGGACGTGGCCGAAGATGGTAGTTTGATATGGAACTCGTATTATTTTGATGTATCTTCGGGGTGGCACTCGGAATAATGGGATCTCATGGCGTTTCATGCATACAAAGGGAAAATCAATGACACTGGACAATTTACCAATTCAAGCTTCTTCCGTGCTGAAATAAGGCTGTAGGACGGGGGAAGTGTACAATCCTGTACAACTTTCCTAGACGGACGAGTATACTGGACATGTCAATAAAAAAGAAATGGAAGTGAATATCTAAACATCAATTAATAAAATATCAATTTACCTATGTTGTATGTATTCCCTGTAGTGTTCGGAAGAAGCTCATGGTTGGGTCTTGGCATTCTGGAAATTTCTCCAGGCAGATCTTCTTCCCCCGGACCAGTTCCATCTTCTTCCCTTTCTCCATCTCCATCCTCAAACTCATCTTCTCACCAATCTCCTTCTCCTTCACCTTCACAATGGTACGTGATATATATCCCGGTTGATTCTACAACCACAAATCTCCCTATTTCCCCAACCCCCGGAGACTCTACCAGCACCTCCACGCCCAACCTTTTTCTTCCTCCAGGCCGAGTCCGGATACCCGAAAATCCGCGCAACGCGCGCAATCCCTAATTCAATTTAGTTGTATCATTAAAGAAACACAATCCCTAACTCAACTACTTTCTAGTCTATCCTCCGCAACATCAAGTCCCTCGCCCCCCTGCTGGACCGCGTCCTGGTCCAGCGCATCAAGCCCGAGGCCAAGACTGCCTCCGGTATCTTCCTCCCCGAGGCTGCCGTCAAGGAGCAGAACGAAGCTCAGGTCCTCGCCGTCGGCCCTGGTCTCATTGACCGTGAGGGCAAGCGTCTCCCCATGGGTGTCAATGCCGGTGACAAGGTCCTCATCCCCCAGGTATGTGGTGCAACTCGGATGTGAATACATGGGAACTATATATGCTAACGTATGCCTGTTCAGTTCGGTGGTAACGCCATCAAGGTCGGCGAGGAGGAATACACCCTCTTCCGGGATCACGAGTACGTTTCACCATCCTCCCTTTAGGTTTTCGAGAACAATAAACTGAAACTAACAACCCCTCTAGTATCCTGGCCAAGATCAAGGAGTAAATCGGTCTCCAAGACAATATTCTTAAATGGTTTCTTTGTTTTTCCGCCATCTAACCTCCCTCTGTCATGTCGACACTAACTCTCCGTTTCGCTGTAAAATCGCGACGGGGATATTGGAAGACCCCTGACGTGTACTATACGCGACGTCATGAGCTTGACCTTTCTCAATGATCTCAAGAACACCGACCAAGGAAAAAAAAAGAAGAAAAAAATCCAAAAAACCATAGCGAATAGGGATGTTCTCACTGGGTGATATTTGCCATTTGATTGTTTAGGTATCATGTCAGTTGTGGCTCCTATTTTGGCCTGTCTTTATATTTTGCATGAGTTTTTGAAGCGCTGGATTGGCCTTGGGTCTTGCATGTCTTTGTCCACTGTACTTTTAAATTAAACTGCGACTTATCTTCTCCCAGTGCTTATGCTGGGGGTGGGTAGTCGGTAATTGCAGACTTGATCATCTCCTCTCTATTCTTCTGCGTATTTCAAATTCTTTATTGGGTGCCATAGGTATAGTCAAGTGCGCAGTTGGGGAACATTTTGATAGACTGAATCTGATTATCAATACTGATGGGTTAACTAGTTACACCTTCCACCTTCCTACCCTCTTGTTAATAATGAAAGCCCATGTCCCTCACATAACTAATCAAGACTAATTTGAGTACCGTATATATCCTCACTGTTAGTCTCATTCTCATTCTCACCGGAGCTCAACTGCGCCATTGATTCGATCACTTCCGACGCTTCGTGCATCTGCTTGTTGCCAAGACAAGACCCGTGTTGCATAACCTGCTGTAGGGGGCCCATATTAATAAACACATCGAAAGCCCTTGAATCTGTACTGGCGCTGGGGACTGTCTCATGAGCCGGCAGGGGAGATGAGCCTGGATAGGAACTAGGATATTGCCTGAAACCACCAACGCGAATGTTATCCAAGATAAAGCGTGCCCCGAAAGGATTAATTCCCACGTCGCGGAGTGCGACTTCATAGTCCGACTCCTCTTCTGTGATGTTTTCGATACTTCCAGGGGGAAACAATTCGTAACGAAGCCTACCCATACCGAAACACCACAACACAATTGATGCCGAGTGGTTCGGAATCGGTATCAGTAATGTTGTGGACCATTCGCCGAAGGCATCACAAAATCGAGCGAGAGAGGCGATTTCCCTTTTCAAGGAGGAATTCGAAACTCTGCTGAGATCTGCACTTTCGGGTTTGCAGATGAGAACAACCAGAACCAGATATCGATGCATGAGGCAGAAAATCTTTTCCCTGAGCGGGGAGTTAAGTCCCTCGATCCCACCGAGCCTTGCATCCCTTGGACCATGCCCTGGAAGATATCGTTGGGTCAGCTCATGGGGGGTTGTCAGAATAATCCCACTATCAGGTGCCAGAATGATATCTGCGTCGTAGTGGTATCGGGAATCCGAGTACACGTCCCCGTAGTCCCTGTAGATCAATTTGGGTGGATTCTCTGGCCACCCCTCCATATCTCGTACGACTGATCGGTGGGTTGTTAAGAGGGCGGTAGACAAAAAGAATATCGGTGGCGGGTTGAATGCCGATCGGGTCACCATTTCCTGCATTTCGAAGGCAGGGCTCGGCGAGCGAGAGGATTCTGATGGTGTCTTACCGGGGTCTGGAGGACCGTCATCCACGAATGAAGGAGTACTTGGGGACTCGTCTTGTCCACTTTTTGCAGATGTTGACAGGGAAAGGGATGATGGATCATGCGACGAGGTAGTATATCCTCCGTCACTTCCCCTGGTTTGCATAAACAGGGAGAGGGATCCGAGGCCACCAAACATTGTTTTAGAGGATTTCGGGGTCTTTGCATAATCTACGGAAGAAACAGCATGTGGAGGCTTGAAGGCGTTTTTTCTCGATCGCCTGGAATCCAACTTGTAGCCCAGTTTCATGCGAAAAAGCTTCCCTTGAGTGATGCAAGAGGCTCTCTTGTCCACGGATGAGGAAGTATGTGTTGCCATAGCATTGAGGTTTTGCTCGTACGGGGTTTGGAAGAAAACATGGTGATCATTTGCATTCTGTGAATCTCGTGCTAGCTGAGTGATATCCTGATCGTTTGCTGGCTGAGTTATTGAGGAACTCAAGCATGCATCCTTTGGCACAAGTGTGTCTTCATGGAGCGCACTAAAAGAAGCAGTCGCGATTCCCATCGGTTCACAAGGCATTCCTATATCCACCGGAGGCTCCAACAAAGCCTTCCTTTCTTTCTTTTCCTTCAAAGCTCTTGGTGCTTTCGCTTTCTGGCTGTCATTCCTGCCAACGGAGAATCCTTTTTCTTTGGTCAGATTGGGGGAAACAGTAGTGAGGGTGAGTGGCGCGTTTTTGTATGGACTGACTTCAAATGAAGGTGCGGTGTTATCAAAAGCAACTGCACTGAAGTCACTTTCGGTGTGATACTTGTCTTCGTTAGCTACTCCTTGTATCAATGATTATCAGTTGGGTACTCACTTCAGAGCTGACACTTGAAGCGTAACTCTCGTTTTCCTGGTCTTCAATAGAGGGAACAAGATCGGACTCAGCACTGATAAACTGACGCACGTTGCCCGATGGTTCCATGATGGGGGGCACAGCGTCACCTGCAAGATGGGATGTCGGAATATTCGGGGACTGGGCAGCTACACTTTCAGGCAGAGTAAAACCGTCGAGACTGCTTGGGCCCGAATTGTATTGGTCAAAGACATCCCGCGTGTTGATAGGGACGGCAGGAACATCAGGACCACTAGGAACAACCAGACGAACCATAGTGCTAGGCGAAGATGAAAGCGGATTCTGGGCGAAGTTGGCGTGAAACTCGGACGAAGTGAGCATATTCTCATGCGCGGTTGTGAGGAGATGAGGCTCGCCTTTAGCGTCAGATGTTGTCACTTGAGGCAGGATGCCACGCCAGATATTTCCATTGACGGACTCGAGCTGGAGACAGCTGCCCAACATATCCATATCTTCAGACTTAACCGGGAGCTTCTCCATCAAGAGCTGGGTGCAAAAGCGTCGGTCGACTTCCTTGAGGCGTTCTTCTGGATGTTCGGGGTGGAGACCCTCAACAGGGGGATGGGAGTTGTCGGCTCACATGTGCTGTCTGCATAGTTGATTGGACAATATCGAGTGGAGTCCTCTGCGATATTGTAGAATCTAGCGTACTCAAGAAGAGTTGGCTGGTTGGAAGCCATTGTGCAAAGAAATGGGAGGGGGTGGGGAGAGGGTGGAGATGAGAGATGGCCAGGGAGAGAAGAGAAGAACATACAAGGTTGTTTACGAGAGGAGAGGTAAACAAAAGGACAAAAGAGGTGAGAGTTGTGTTGTGAATTGGGAAGGTACGATGGACGACAAACACGGTCCGAATTAGGCAGGGACCGAGATATAGAGGAAGCAACACCATGGCAGCTCCAACAAACATAATTAGGAAGATATTTGTTCGAACAGGTAGATGTGAAAATAAAGATAAGATTTGCGCTATGGTATGCCGCTAATTGCTATGTGAGAAAGAAGAACTCCGATTCCCATGAACCTTTTGCGGCCCACCTAGTCGTTATAGTTCGACTGGCGAGACCCATCCTTGTTGACTGCCGGTAGGCCATACAAAGCATTGAGTTCATCCTCCTGAGACTTCCCAGACCCCTCAAGCACAGGCTTCTCGGCATGAACCGCAACGCGCACGGCATGGCGGCGGTGCGGTGTAAAGCCATAAGAAGCACTGTGGTTGGTAGACCTGTTATCCCAGAGTGCAACATCGTCCTCGCCCCATGAGAAGCGGGCATGCATCTCCTGGGTCGTGGCGATCACATCAGTGAGGAACCGGATGATGGCGTCGCTCTCTGCGGCCGGGATACCGATGATCTTCTTCACGAATCCAGGGTTGAAGAACAGTCCGTTCCAGCCGGTGACTGGGTTCGTCCGAATTAGTGGGTGTTCGGTGGTGATAGGGTCTCGGCGCACGGGTCGGCCTAGTGCTCGGGAGTCATTGGCTTGCATATCGGCTGAGTGGATGGCTGTGAGGCCTTTCAGATAGGTTTGCATGTGCGAGGAGAGCACGTCGTAGGCGGCGTACTGCGAGGACCAAAGGGTGTCGCCACCACCTCCTCGAGGTGGCCCAGAGAGAAGCTTAAGTGATGTATAGGATGGTGGTTGGATTTCATAGGTCACGTCTGAGTGCCATAAGAAACTGGGTGTGAAGAGGGCGCGGTTGTCGCCGGAGTTGTCGCCAGTGTAGACGACATGGACGTCCTCGAGACCTGGCTTTCGGGGAATGGATGTAGTAGCGTGCTATGTAGATTGTTAGTATGTATACTCATATACATTAACCCAAGAAGGTCAGATGTCTTACCTTGTGTAGCTTGCCCCAATGTTGGCCCAATTGGCGTTGAGCCTCAATATCGAAATTCTTCTGGGAGCGGAAAAAGACAACGCCTCGGTATGCAATCAACCGGGCAAGGTCATCCTTCTGTGCATTGTCGAGCTTTGAGAGATCGACACCGTGGACTTCAGTTCCGATCTTAGGGTTGTGATCAAAGACGGCTGTGGCATCCCTCAGAAGGTTGCGGAATTTGGGGTCTCCTCGTAGTCCCTTGTCCTGGTAGGGGGTATATTCGAGCGGGGCCCAGTGGACGTCTGGAAATGAGGGCAAGAAATCTTCGTGTGCATAGTTATCATGTTGAGTGACTGGTGTGCGGCCGGGCTGATAGCCAAATTTGTTGTCGCTAGCGAGGTCCTGCGCAAGGACAGGAACGGTGAACTTGGCCACAGTTGGGGCCACGGTGACCACAGGCTCTTCCAAGGATGGCGCCATCTCTAATGCAAGTGACGATGTACGTGATATATAAAATAATACACGAGATGGATGAATATGTGAGAACCTTGGGAGATAGCAAGGCGAGATTGATTGATATTCAAGTATAAAACTAAGTTTGGATAGAAGGAAGAACCGACTTATATAGATCCAAGCCAAGGACCAAGTGAGTCAACCCCAGATAACGCCATTCTGGAATGATTACGGATCTTGCATGTCCCCGGAGTTCACGGAAATGGCGCAATTTCTTAGATTCATCACCTCAGGCGAATCTGATGGAGAAACTAGGGACGAAACAATTGGTTCTAAATAGATGTTACATTGAGAGGGAGACCCGCTCCCTCTCCGTAGAATATTCACGGTGATCACGCAATTTTGCTGACGTTGATGGCGAGACTTTGCCATCTTCATCGAATGAACATGGACAACGGCTGCTCAGTCGATATAGTAGTTCTCACCGCTGTTTCAGAACTATGTCCAAATCAAAGACTTTTGAACGCGTGTTCAAGTATAGAGAGAGGTGTTGATGTAAATGTACGTTCTACGAAGTACAACATTACATTTGTGGAGGAAAGTGGAGGTTGAGATTAGGAATGGCGCTAAGGAGGCGATCACGCAAGAGTGGCGGGTTCTTGCGACGGGTTACTCATCAGCCTCACTTCCAGTTGGTATGCTTATGTTGGTATAGAATAACCTTGGAATGTATACAATGTAAAAGCTTGAATACATTGGATTGGCTCAAAGAATTTGACTTTCAGAATGATCTAAGCTTAGATATCTTGGATGTATGGCTGCATCTTCGGCCTACAACTAGCGCTCAGACTAATAAGAGTTCGGAGTTAACAGATAAACTGTTGGATGTCATGTTTCGCATGCTGAAGGATCAGCTCCCATAATAATACAGATCAATCTCGCTTAAATTCTCCTATCCCAAATGAAGCCGGCCATCCCCAAGGGACTGCTGCCCAATCGACAGGTCTTGTACTTGTTCCGATACATTGCCCAGACGAGCGGCAACGCCCATAATGCCAGCCTCAACGTCTGAGAGAACACCGGAAAGTTCGTTGACGGTGGACCGGGGTGTTCCCGCGGCTCCCTCACGAGACTTGGAGCTCACAAAGTCGCTGATTTGGCGATTGAGGGTAGCTTCGACACCGTGAAGATGGTTCTCAATTTCTTTGAGGTTGCCGGTATATCTGGTAAGAACTCCTTTCATCTCCTTCGAGCGATGAGAGAAGTAATCGACCAGGTTGACGGGGACTCCATTGACGTCAGTCGATGCGTCGCCCTCGACGCCGTCGGGAAGAGCAAGTGTGTTTTTGCGACTCGAGCGCATAGATCGCTCCGGAATCTGTTGATCCTGCACAGACCACCACCCACCGCCAGTTGACTGGTATTGTAGAGGAAGCTTCAGCGTATCAATGGCTCGGAAGGCAACTTGGGCCTCGGCCGCATCCCGTGTAACAAGGCTGCGCAGCCCATCAATGTCACTGGCATCGTTCTCAAGCGCGTGTTGCATGGTTTCCAGTTTGCCTTGTACAAATTCGACATCGTTAGGAATTGTGGCACCCTGCTTCTCGATGGTCGGGAGCAGATCTCCGACCTCATGGCACATCTTCATCTGGTTAAGGATGTGCTTGTCGATAGCTTCGATTTGGCTGCGGATCTCATCCGCACAGCTCTCGAATTTCGTGGTTGGCAGGAGATTGCTGACGTCAACTTTCACGCCCGGGATCGTGCTGGTAGCGGTGCTCTGTTGTAGTGGTTGTGTGGTCTGTGTGGGCGCTGGCTGGCCGAAGAGGGACAGGGTAGGCTTTTGAGGTTGTTGCTGTTGTTGTTGAGCTGTGCTCTGGCCGCCACCACTGTAAATTATTAGAATATAAGCGATGAGACGGGACGAGCAAAAGCATGGTCACTTACAACACGCCCCCCGTACCTGCTCCTGATAATCCCGAACCAAGTCCACCGAGTCCTGAAAACGGTGGCTTTGCTTGAGTTTGAGCCGTAGGCGCACCCCCGCCGAAAAGAGTGCTGCCACCCAAGCCACCGCCCGTTGTTCCTTGAGTCGTGCCGGTGCCGGTGCCAGCGCCAGCAGTCGACGTACCGAACAAATTGCTTGTCCCAGAAGGTTGTGTGGTGGTATTTGCGCCGCCGAAAAGGCTGCTGCCGGTCGCGTTGCTCTGCTGTTGACCTCCAAACATGTTGGATCCGGTCTGTTGTGCTTGTGGTGTGGTTCCTGCAGCTGGGGCTCCGAACAAGCCTCCTGCTGGTTTAGGTGCTGTCGAGCTAGCAGCGTTCCCGAAAAGACTACCGGTATTAGTTGCGCCGGGAGTAGCTGTGGATGTGGCTGTGTTGCCGCCGCTGTTGGTGAGATGTTGCGGTTAGCTTTTTTTTTTTTTTTTTTCTGCATGAGATCAAGTGACCCCAGCCTGCAAGCCACGAATAACGAGGATTGGGAGAGGAAACGAAGCGAATCAGAGCAAGGGGTCAGGCGATATGTCTGATAGGTGTAATCAGAGACAAAGAAAGATGGATGGGAGGACTAACAACAAAGAACTGGTGGTTGTGTTAAGAGAAAGTCCACCTGGGGCAGTTGCCGCTGCCTTGGGAGCAAACATGGCTGAGAATATTATAATGACAATAAGGCTTCAAATGCTTGAATGAGAATGGAACCTATCCCCCCTCAATAGGAACAAAGCTGCCGTAATTACGATTTGCGGAATGCGCGAAGCTTCTCGGTACTTTGTTTCTCCGATCCGGTCTTTTTTTCCTAGCTTGGAAACGCGGTTTACGCTTTTTATACTTCATTTGCATGGATTTGTTTGAGACACGAAAAACTACAACATACATAGTTTAATTGGTACCCCATTATGAGCCTCATTTAGGTGCCATCCAGGTGACCGCCGATATTTGTGTAGTGCGCGGACTTTTTGGACCCAATGGTATCTACCTAGGTACTGTCTTATAGTTAGATTATATAGGGTTATATGATACGACGGAAAACTAGAAGGCGGTAACGAGAGCGGTAGATAGAAGTAACATCAATTCGGTGTCGCACCCGATTAGGAAGGCGGTAGTGCTAATGCCCGATATTTCAGAGGGGGGTGGCCAAAGGGGGGTAGTTCGACAGGTTGCTCAACAGTATTCATTTATAAAAATACTATAACTATAAAGTAACTATGGATTCAACATGGTACTTGTGAAGTGAGAGTGGATCTAAATTATTGCCTGGCAATATGAACCAATGAGAGAGTTATGTGTCGGGTGGCCTTCTTAGTCGCCCGTAAATGTCAGACTTGGCCGCTTCATCTTACTCGGAACTTTGAAAATAAATGAGCCATTGATTGAATGAGCGACATCTCAAATATCCAGAAAACACTGCTG